TATATATATATATATATATATATATACACAAACCGGATTCCAAAAAATTTGGGACACTAAACAAATTGTGAATAAAAACTGAATGCAATGATGTGGAGGTGCCAACATCTAATATTTTATTCAGAATAGAACACAAATCGCAGATCAAAAGTTTAAACTGAGAGAATGTATCATTTTAAGGGAAAAATCTGTTGTTTCCAAATTTCATGGCGTCAACAAATCCCAAAAAAGTTGGGACAAGTCCATTTTTACCACTGTGTGGCATCTCCCCTTCTTCTTACAACACTCAACAGACGTCTGGGGACAGAGGAGACCAGTTTCTCAAGTTTAGAAATAGGAATGCTCTCCCATTCATGTCTAATACAGGCCTCTAACTGTTCAATCGTCTTGGGCCTTCTTTGTCGCACCTTCCTCTTTATGATGCGCCAAATGTTCTCTATAGGTGAAAGATCTGGACTGCAGGCTGGCCATTTCAGTACCCGGATCTTTCTCCTACGTAGCCATGATGTTGTGATTGCTGCAGAATGTGGTCTGGCATTATGGTGTTGAAAAATGCAGGGTCTTCCCTGAAAGAGATGACGTCTAGATGGGAGCATATGTTGTTCTAGAACCTGAACATAGTTCTCTGCATTAATGGTGCCTTTCCAGACATGCAAGCTGCCCATGCCACAAGTGCTTATGCAACCCCATACCATCAGTGATGCAGGCTTCTGAACGGAGCGTTGATAACAACTTGGGCTATCCTTGTCCTCTCTGGTCCGGATGACATGGCGTCCCAGTGTTCCATAAAGAACTTCAAATCGTGACTCATCTGACCACAGAACAGTCTTCCATTTTGCCACACTCCATTTTAAATGACCCCTGGCCCAGTGCAAACGTCTGAGCTTGTGGAGCATGTTTAGAAATGGCTTCCTCTTTGCACTGTAGAGTTTCAGCTGGCAACGGCGGATGGCACGGTGGATTGTGTTCACTGACAATGCTTTCTGGAAGTATTCCTGAGCCCATTCTGTTATTTCCTTGACAGTGGCATTCCTGTTTGAGGTGCAGTGACGTTTAAGGGCCCGGAGATCACGGGCATCCAGTAGAGTTTTACGGCCTTGACCCTTACGCACAGTGATTGTTCCAGATTCTCTGAATCTTTTGATGATGTTATGCACGGTTGATGATGATAACTTAAAAGTCTTTGCTATTTTACGCTGGGTAACACCATTCTGGTATTGCTGCACTATCTTTCTGAGCAACAATGGTGGAATTGGTGATCCTCTTACCATCTTGGCTTCAGAGAGACTCTGACACTCTGAGAAGCTCTTTTTATACCCAATCATGTTGTCAATTGACCTAATTAGTGTTAATTGGTCTTCCAGCTGTTCGTTATATGCTCAATTTCCTTTTTCCAGCCACTTATTACTACTTGTCCCAACTTTTTTGGGATTTGTTGACACTGTGAAATTTTGAATCACTATATTTTTCCTTTAAAATGTTACATTTACTCAGATTAAACTTTTGATCTGTCATCTATGTTATATTATGAATAAAATATTGACATTTGCCATCTCCACATCATTGCATTCAGTTTTTATTCACAATTTGTTTAGTGTCCCAACTTTTTTGGAATCCGGTTTGTGTATATATATATATATACATATATATATACATATAGATATATATATACACTACAGTAAACTACTACTTACTAATTGTACTACTATTCATACTTCGTGGTTTTTCACTTATAGCGGGGCTTCAGGATACGGATCCCCCGTGATAAACGAGGGACTACTGTACTATCAAGTACAAATACACTATACTATACAGACACCTGATACAGATCTGATCTTTATGACCTCAACTGCCCTTTTTTTGGCTCAGGTGCTCACTAAAGCACAGACTAAACTGAAAATGTGTTTAAGTGCAATACCAACAGCTGAAAGTGTTGTCTGTGAAATTTTATTCAACCAATAAATAATTTCAGAGATTTGCACATTTTTTTAAGGTTTCCTGTTAAAGCCAAGCAGCAAATCATCTGTGTTATATGTTAACTTCACACACAGAAAACAAACATTACATTAGAGAAAAAAATCCAGGAAAGAAAATCCTGCCTGCCCTCCTTAAACACGTACATCTCTTTTACTGTGTTGTAAAATTAGCCTATTGACTGACCCAATGGGCAAGTTATGTTAAAGTTTTGAACCTTTGACCTGTCAACAACGCTGGGTTTAGTAACATTTCTTCATATTAGAAACATGTCAAATATGAGTGAAGGAATAGGAATGCAGATGATAAAAAACACAAAGAGTTTAATTTGTTATATGTACATTGTAATAACATAATACAATATTTTAGTTTTGTTTATACACAATTAATTAATTTAGTTTGCATAGCAAAACAATAACTAAAGGCTAAAAAAAAGCTAAACTGTATCTAAAAGTAGGGTATGTGGAAGTAGTTTGATTTAAAAAATAACATATGGAAGAAACTATAAACGATAAAACAGTGTTTTCAAAGTAGTGTGCATTCAGACATTTAAACAGCTCAGTAAAACTGCACCTGTTTAAAAGAGTTTATTTGCTTCTCCATCAAACAAATCTCAAAATTACTTCAAAAAGCCTGAAATGAGCTATCCTGCACCTTGTGTGTAACTGGCATTAAAGCAGCCTTATCTTTGAGACTTTTGCAGTCAGATTATGGCCACACAAGCTGAACACTGTCTGATTTGTGTTAGGTGAGTCACTTACTTCTTAAACTGCTTGAGGAAAATGCCCACATTCATCCCCCTCTTTGAGTCAAGGATGCTGACCTGATAGAAAAAGGGGAAAAACTTAAAACATGATTTTGTAAAGTTGCAATTAAACACACACATTCACACCCAACAATCCTCACTGTTGATGCTGACACAACCCACTTCCCCACAAAAACCCTGAAACTCCCCTGAACCTTGTAAGACATTCACATGTTCCTCATGAACAATGTTTGTGCTGCCTTCCCTAAACAGGCGACTCTGCATTATGTGCATCTGCACAAAGGCCTGATTACATCTTTTACACAGCAGTTACACCACTGTGGTTAGACTAATGACTAATGAGTGCAGGTGTGGCAAAGTTGGGCTCAGCAAAGACACCACATAATTAACTCCACACATGCAAAGATGCTCTGTATGCAATGTTGTGCTGAAATGAGCTACAAAGTCTAAGTTCAACCATCTTAATGCAACAACTGTACATTTGTTGAAACAACATGCATCATGAAACTTTTTTTTTTGTCACACGAGTACTGTCAGAAAATGCTAAAAGCTAATGAACAACTCTTAAGTTGCAAAGTTTAAAAAGAGTAAAACATGACAACACAATATAAGAATACTACTGTTCCTGTGGAGGGAAAAGCTTGTTAAAAATGTAGCACTAGCCAATACTAACAGATTTATCAGTTATATTTGGTTTTATAAAACACAAAGGGCAAAATCCGATGGTAAGGTCAGGTCTGGTAAGGTCTATTCAGGGGTGCTGGAGAGGAGAGTCCGTCGGGTAGTCGAACCTCGGTGTATTCTGTTATATGGGAGAATATCTACATTTGGCTAATTCTTTAACATTTGTTGGATTGGTGATAATTGTTCAGTGTTTTTAATCAAATAAACTAAACTGTGTTCCATGAGCTAATTACAATTTAACTGTAAAACGCTACACTGAGGTCCCTTGTCTCAGAAGGATTTGGATAGTGAATGTCTGTAGTTTTTGAGATTAGTGCTTTTCTAGGCTGGAAGTGAACAGGGAACGCAAGTGATCCTTAATGTTTTTGGTGCAAAATATTCAAGTGGGTAGGAGTTACACTGTGTATAAGAAGAGATGTAGGTTTTTTTTTTTTTTTTGTCTGAGGCAGTGCTGAGTGACAGATCCTGGTGAGAGGGGGGTAAAATTTAAACCACCAGGAGCTACAGCGGAGCCAGGGGGTGGCCAATGATGATCTTGGCCATCATAGATTAATTTTCTATTACCCCACTCTCTATCACAGTCATTTAAGGAAAATATACTTTTAAGCAATATAAAAACTAGAAAGCATAGTTTCCTCAAATGATCTTGGATTTTGACGTGGCAGTGCCATCTTTGATAGTGATCTTTCTTACGCCTAGATGCAACCACACGCCAAAAGAAAAGATGGTACGTTGCTTATTTTTGTAGTTATCCAGCTAGCAAAGTTTACATATATACATAATGAGGCAGCCATCTTGGGAGTTTGACGTGGTAAACCAATTTTCAGTAGTGACCTTTCTTACAGCTAGGTGCAGACACACCAAAATGGAAGTCGGAAATCTTGTTTTGTAGATTTTCAAGCTCTATAGACAGACAGGTGTATGGACGGCTGGAAGGAGGGTATTTCCATTTCTCCTCTTCACGCCACGACCAGGGACAAAAAGCACATAAAACATAATTTTATTCAGCATGCTTCACTCAACTCCTTTATTATAACTTTTACAGACATATCAGGTTTTGTGCTTTTTTCCTACAGCACTAAATGTAACATGGGAGTTGATTTATTAAACCTCGTGGTTTTTCTTTAAGCTGCTCACTTTTCAGAGGCCACCACAGCGACCCCTGTATGAGTTCACATGAAAGATGTGGCAATTGTTTTACCCCAAATGGCCTTCCTGATGCAACTTGGGTTTGAACCAGCAGCTTCAGGATTACAAGACTGTGGCATTGAACTCTGAGCTACTACACCCCTTAATAAACCTCAAATGTATTCTTTAACACTCCATACATCTTCCCAGCAGCACAAAAAGATCCAAGTTGTCCTCAGTATAGTCCTGAACCCAAATTGTTTTATCTAAACAGAATAAGGCTGTAACAAAGCATTGTTTCCAAAGTTTCTGCAGGAATCACTTGATTCTGTAGGAGAAGTTAGGAAAGTTATGTGCTGCAACTTTTTATTTACAATTTCCTCTTTCCATCAGTGATGCATTTTGTACGTGAAGTGACCAGGATGTCTTGCACATGTTGCAAAAAAACCAGTAGCGGATGATAAAAGTTGACTTCACATCTCCACTAATAAGCAATACTTTAAATTAAAATGTATAGGTTTTGAAAATTTGGATTGAACTCATTAACTTTGTCAATCATGATTTATTTATTTGGGAGATTTAATTGAGTAAGATCACAAAGTCATTTCAGATTTAAAAGAAAGTGTGATTACTACATCTACCAAGGTATTGATCCCAAAGCGTCACAAGAAACACTTACCTCGCTCTTGCTGCTGTCCTTAAAAGAGCGTGATCTTGATACTCGAGCTGAGGTTCCAGTTGTTGCCCCACGTAAACCAGTTGACATCTCTTCCTGCTGCCCGAAGAGTTCTTCCACTGAGCGAACGTCAATCTGGAACTGCTGCTGACGCACCGCCATCGTCCAGATGTTGGGCTTTCCGCGCACCTTCTCCTCCGGGATGGGCTTCCAAAAGAAACTGCGCACGCGTCGCTTTTTCCTCCCGCTGTGGTTGATGGACGTCGTTGCCAGTGGCGGAGGAGGTGGGGGGGCCCCTGGAGGTGGGGGTGGGAGAGGAGGAGGTGGCAGAGAAACATGGTGGGTGGCGTCGGGGGCATCATTGGGGGTCCGTGCAGACATAGGGGATGGTTCGGAGGTAGTGATGGAGGAAGTGGTGCAGCTGCTCTCCTCACTGCTGCAGCTCTCTGGCTCATTGGTGGCAGATGAACAACTCATAACAAGCAGCACGAGGATAAACACTCAGCTGTGCTGAGGGAGTTTGGTGCGCAAGTAAAAATAAATAAATCTAATAAATAGTTCCTGGTTTTCAAAAATGACTTGCAGGGAACTTTCCTTTATTTTTATGTGAATCTGATGGATCGTCGTTTGATTTTGTCCGTCTCCATCAGTCAGCCGGTCATCCATCATGCTTAGCTTTGAAGGTTGACTCCCAGAGGGAGGAGATGGGGAGCAACGACGGCCATGGTGCTACAACAGAAACAAAAAGAGAAAGGATTACAGTGGGGCAGCTGATCACATCATTTTGGACAATCTGGAATTTGCCAAAACTAATGGATGCAACAGGGGTACTCAGGAAAAAGGCAGGGAAAAAGTAAATCCTTTTTCTTTCTTTTATTGAAGGACTTTGAAGTCAGACATTGATGGAAATAACACACAGAGCTTAGCCCTGTTACATAATTTGGTATCACTATTTAACCTGTAGCAGGTTATTAAGAAAGATGACTTATGTAACTAGATTTTTTAAAAATCATAAGCCTCACTGATTAATATTATTTGTCAAGCCGACACACACAGAGGACCTCAAAATTAATATGTCGAATACATGACCATGTTAAAAATAACAATACATGTATTACAAATGGAATTATTTTAAAACAAATCACTCTCTCCCTTTTTGTGATGCAATCTTTGGTGGTGGCCCTTGAAGAATGTTGCTAACTTTCACTATATTAGCATTTGATCTTGACTTTGCATTATAACTATCACTGTGCAGTGTGTCTGATTATCACAGAAGGGCATCTACATGCAACAGGCTTTAAATGACTAAGCACTGTAGCTCTTGTCAGTGTAAACAACAAAGAAAAAAAATCTACAAAATATTTAAGAGTCAAACACATTTGTGCTTCTTCTAGTGACAGAAAAATGTGTGAATTGTGTGTGATTTATGTCATAAAATTATATGGTTGACTTTAAAACAAGGAAGTGGTTTGTGCATGCTGCTGGAGAGATGCTGTCATTCATCAAACTGGAGATGATTTTACCTGAACAGCAAGTGATCTGAAGTGTTTCCAGTCGATCATCACAAGCGTGGCTCAAATGAAACCTAATATCATATCAAACCCTGTCATTAAAAAAGTTGTAAACTAGAAAAAGGGAAAGAACTTTTAATCTTCTCTTTTGTAAAATCATTTGCCAGTTTGAGGAGCAGACAGCTTGATTTTGTTTAAGACTAGCCTTAAAACTTTTATTTAAAAAAGCATTTAGTGACTGACTCAAAACTAGCAATCACCCTAATGAACTGATCTACTCTTGTCATGATGCTGCTGTTATTCTCTTTATTGCCCATTCAGTTTTATACCATTAATAATGTCAGCAAAAATATATGTTTTTCCTTAGAGCAGGTAATTCTGGCCTGGTGCTTTGGGTGCTTGCATCTTTGACTTGTCCTCTCATTTCTCAACCAGCTGAGGCAGACTGACATTTTTCTGAGTCTTGTTCTGCAGGAGGTACCTTCTAGTTAAGAGAAATTTTGTTCTCTACTTATATCAGCCGCTCTGGACATTCTTAGTGCACGGCTTCAAACTAGGTTTAAATAGATCTGTTGCTTTCCAACAAGACAGATTTGCAGCTTGATGGCTTAGTGGTTAGCACTGTTGCCTCATAGCAAGAAGATCCTGGGTACAATCCCCGGGTTGGACCTGGGATCTTTCTGTGAGGAGTTTGCATGTTCTCTTCATGTTTGTGTGGATTTTGTCTGGTTTCCCCTTACAGTACAAAAGCATACATGTCAGGCTGCCTTCAGACCCAGGCCTCACTTGCAAAAGAGATCTGTGATCTCAATGGTATTTGCCTGAGTTACAAACTTTAAAACAGGCATCTAGAAAGCTGGAAATAGCACTCCACTAACATGGAAGAATTTTATTTAAATTGGAGAGATAGTCTGCTAACATATAAGAAAGCCCTCCATAAAGCTAGAACTGAATATTATTCATCTTTAATTGATGAGAATAAAAATAACCCCAGGTTTCTGTACTACAGCTAGACTAATGAAAAGTCCTATCTCTGTTGAGCCATATATACCTACAGCTACAAGCAGCAATGACATCATGAGATTCTTTATAAATAAAATTATTTCAATTAGGAGAGAAAATTCACACCATCCTTCCTACCATTGCCTCTGATTCCCTGTCAGATGAGGCAATTTTAGAAATGTTACTAGAATGTGATTTATATTTGGACTGTTTTTGTCCTGTTGAGCTCTCTGAACTGTCAAAAATAATAGCTTCATCAACATGTCTGCTAGATCCTATCCCAAACAGACTGTTTAAAAAAGTATTTTTCCCTCATTAATATCCCCATTTTGGATCTGCTTAATTTGTCTAATAAATGGTTATATACCACAGCACTTTAAGATTGCTGTAATTAAATCTTTACTTAAGAAACCTGATCTTGATTCAGGAATCCTGGCCTATATCTAATCCAACATTCATCTAAAAATTCTAGAGAAGAATAGTTGCAAATTAATTGTGTGAACATCGGGACAGAAATAATCTGAGGAGGTTCAAATCAGAGTTTAGAACACATCATAGCAGAGAAACAGCACTGGTGAAAGTTGCTCATGGCAATGGACAATGGACTTGTGTCTATACTGGTCCTGTTAGATCTCAGTGCTGCATTGATACAGTTGATCACAATATTCTACTACAAAGGCTTGAATATAATATTGGGATTACAGGAACGGCTCTAAAATAGTTAAAATCATATTTATTTGATAGATTGCAGTTTGTAAATGTAAATAATGAATCTTCTTCATACACCAAATTTAGTCATGGAGTTCCTCAGGGTTCAGTGCTTGCACCAATACTCTACATATGTTGGAAAAGTGTTGAAGGAATGTGCTGATCAGCTCTGTGAGGTGCTGGCAGACATCTTTAACACCTCACTTACCCTGGAGACAGTTCCCACCTGCCTGAAGACTGCCACCATCATCCCAGTCTCAAAAAGCTCTACAGTGACTGGTCTGAATGACTATCGGCCAGTGGCCCTCACCCCGATAGTCGCTAAATGCTTTGAAAAACTGGTCATGACTCGCATCAAAACAACCATCAACATCAACGAGGACCCTCATCAGTATGCATACCGTGAGAACCGATCAACAGAGGATGCCATCTCCTCTGTGGTCCACACTGCGCTCAACCACCTGGAGCAGAAAAACTCTTATGTCCGAATGCTCTTTGTGGACTTCACATCCGCCTTCAACACCATGATCCCCCAAACCCTGATGGACAAACTATCCACACTAGGACTAAGCCCCTCCATTTGCAACTGGGTACTAGATTTTTTAACAAACAGACCACAGTTAGTGAGGATCCACAACTTCTCCTCCTCCACCATAACCCTCAGCACTGGCTCTCCTCAGGGATGTGTGTTGAGCCCCCTCCTGTTTACTCTGCTCACGTATGGTTGTGCAGCTACCCATCCAGGCTGTCACATTGTAAAGTTTGCAGATGATACAGCGGTGGTGGGATGCATCACAAACAATGATGAGTCCAGCTACAGGCAAGAGGTGGAACACCTGGAGAGCTGGTGCAAAGAGAATTACCTTCACATCAATGTGAAGACAAAGGAGATGATTGTGGACTTCAGAAGGAACAAAAACACCTACACCCCCCTGAACATAAGAGGATCTGCGGTGGAAGTGGTCTCCAGCTACAAGTACTTGGGTGTACACATGAATGACAACCTCAGCTGGAGCAACAACACCACCAGCCTGATCAAGAAAGCTCATCAGAGACTCTACTTCCTCAGACGGCTGAGTCGAGCTGGTCTGGAAAGCTCAGTCCTCACCTCCTTCTACAGGTGTGCAGTGGGGAGCATCCTGTGCTCCAGCATCAATGTGTGGCATGGAGGCTGCACAGCTGCAGAAAGAAAAGCTTTGCAGAGAGTGGTGAATGCTGCACAGAAATCTGTCGGAATCAGCCTCCCCACCATCACAGACATCTACACCTCCAGATGCAGGAAGAGGGCCACCTGCATCATGAAGGACCCCACCCACCCAGCACACACACTTTTTGCCCCACTCCCCTCAGGAAGGAGGTTAAGGAGCATTAAGTGTAGAACCACTAGACTGAGGAACAGCTTCTACCCTGAGGCTGTTAGACTCATGAATCTCTAACTAGAATAATCACTGTGAAAAACCATATCATGTTGCTGCTGATCTGTTTCATGTTGTTGCTGATCTGTTTCAATGTTGATGTGTTCATGCGTGCACATCTGCTCACAGACTCGTTCATGTTTGTGCTGATGTTCAATGTTTTATGTTATGAGTGTTTAGTGTATATTTAGTTGATGTTTTTCTTAGTTCATATCTTAGATGTTATTACTGTTTTTCTTATACATTTTATTGTTGGATGTAACTGGGACCCCGTGTACATAATTTCGCTCCACCACATGTACCACATGAGGTGCGAATGACAAAGAAACTCTGACTCTGACTCTGACTCATATGCTTTCATTAGATAAAGTTATTAAACAGCATGGGATACATTTTCATTGCTATGCTGATGATACTCTGTTATATTTATACATGAAACCCGACAAATCCAATCAGTTACTTTGATTACAAACATGTCTACAGTATACTGCTGTCAGGCTCCTCTCTTGTGGAACCAACTTCCAATTTCTGTTTGTGAGGCTGACACGTTGTCTGTTTTCAAGACTAGGCTTAAGTCTTTCCTTTTTGATAAATCTTAGTTAGGGTCCACTTGGATTTAATGAGCTATCCCTTAGTTATGCTGCTTGGACTGACTTAGACTGCTGGACTACAAATTGACCACATTTCCTCACTCTGTTGCTGTCTTTACTTGCTCTACTCTACCTGTAATTATTTCTATCCTTAACATGTTTTTTGTCTTTCCTCCAACAGAAAGTACTGTGCACCTGACCCTGCCATTCTGTGTTTGTTTGTTTCTCCTTCCTGTCCTCTCAAACCCCAG